AAAAATTAAAAAATTAGCATTGAAACACATAGTATCATATGAAACTTTTCATTAATTTTTTATTCAAATTTAATATTATATTTTTTTTTTTGAGTAAGCGTTAGAGATACTCTAATAGCTGACGAATTGTTTAGCACATGATCTGGGTGTAGTTAGAGCTCATATGCTTATCTAGTAATGTGTTGACAGTGCTCATATGCTTGTCATTGGAAGTGTGATAGTGCTCATATGCATATCTGTGGAAGTGATGATATAGCTTGTATGCTTATCTATTGTTGTGTGATATAGCTAGTATGCTTATCTATTGTGAAATGGGAAGTGTTTGATATGAGTTACCGTCTCATATGAGTTGTTTGGCCAGGTTCTGAGCCATGGTTGTAAATTGAGAATTGAAAGAAATGGAAAATGAGTTGTAATATGGACGTGTATGTCATGAAAATGTAAAGTGTGATAAGGGGAAAGTATCAGTGTTGACCATCTATCAACTGCTAATCTTTTAGTCATTGTTCATATTTGATTTAGTGTATTTCTACTGGGCTGTGGCTCACCCTATATGGGAATATCATTTTCAGGTACAGGTAGCATGCCACCTCCAAGGACGTAGCTTGGGAGGCTAGAGGCGGACACACTTTTGTTGTCTTATTTTTGATGTATTACATGTAAATTCAAGCCAAGGGCTTAATGTGTAATTGAGTTGGTACTCTCTTGTTGTAACCAAGTGTTAACTTGGAAAGTTGTAAGCCCTTAGGGCACTTGCTTTTGTCGTTAACATGTAATACTTTTTGTAATGAAACTCTGATGAAAGGAAGAATGTGGAACTTTTATATATCAATGCATGTCTCTATTGATGGGTTTAATGTTGTTATTTTGAGGGCGTTACAATTTAACTTGCACACGCATCGCGTGTGGCAATCGCTAGTATATATATGTATATATACACTGTAAACCTAATGAATTTATGAAATTAATTGGTGTTTATGAAATATCATGGAATCTAGATTCAGGTAATAAAATTAGGGAAATTTACCAATAAATCCCAAAATGTAAACTAATGAACCAATTGGTCCCATTTTTATTCTACTAAACCGTTTAGTCCTGCGAAATTACTACGGACGTAATTGCCCTCATTTAGACGTTGTTAGTTATGCGGCTGTGAGGCGTGTTTTTTGGATGTGGTGCATGTGTGCCTCACGTGTGTAATTAGTGAATATCATGTGTGGTGTGTTGCATGTGATACATCGTGGGGTGTCACAGAATTCGAAACCGTATAAGGGGTTTTTTATTGGGCTAGGTTGGTGTGTTTAGGGGTTAACACACACACTGATACACACACACAACACACACACACACAACATACACACACACTGATACACGGGACATACACACACAACTTCTCTTCGATCTGAGCTAAGACACACACATGGGCTGGCATGGGCTCTCTCTCTCTCCTATCACACACAGATACACACATACATTGTCGCCCTCTCTCTCTGATCTCTCTTTGTCTCTCGTGAAGAAGAGAGTGGAACAATAGCATAGAGCCTTGATCGGGGAGATTGAAAAACACACAGATTGATACATGGACAGCAGACACACACACACAAGAGAGACTGATTACTTCTCTCTCTCTCTCTCTAGCCTGAAACCAACCCATCTCTCTCTCTCTTACTCTCAAACCGAATCAAAAGAACCCTAGCCCTCGCTCTCGCTGTGTGTGTGTGTGTGTGTGTGTGTGAAGAAGAGAGTGGAACAATAGCACAGAGCCTTGATCGGGGAGACTGAAAAACACACAGACTGATACACGGATATCAGACACACACACACACACACAAGAGAGACTGATTACTCCTCTCTCTCTCTAGCCTGAAACCAACCCATCTCTCTCTCTCTTACTCTCTGACCGAATCAGAAAACACATGTCCCTACGTTATCCACATAGATCATATCTCGTAAGAAAAACGTGACACTTTTGAACTTGGGTTAACAAAAAGGAAAAGAATAACACCACTAGAACACCACACACTATTACAAACGACGCCTCTAAATCGCATGTGCCTCTGTTCCTCATACACAGCGAAGTTCCACACACACCCAACGCATCAGCCATAATGGATAACCATGAACGGCCAACATACATAAACCACCCACATACGTGAAACATGGAACAAACACAGAACAAAATGTAAATGCCTACAATCTATATCAAAGGTAAAAGACCCAAGGAAAAGTGAGCATACCAGGTAGAGAATAGCGTATACACGGCAGTTTTTCGAATCTCTGAGGGTGTGCCACACAGCCGTCAATGAGGAAGGCACACATACAAATTCAAAAACCCTACCTCACAATAGCTTAAACGTATTTGAATGTATCATCAAAATTAGCCAAACCGGAATGAGCAACGTTTCCAAAAAAGGAACTGACCCCGCAAAAGAGTACCACATTAAACCAAGGGCACTCTCGTCCACGCAGTGAAACAAAAATGGAAAAAAAAAAAAAAAAACCAAAAAGGACCAAATCAACCCACCAGCAGGACTATTTGGTATAATAGAATAAAAGTGGGACTATTTGGTATAACAGTTTATGAAGTAGGATTTATTGGTAAATAATCCATAAAATTAACGAACCAATCAAACACAACACAACATGCATATAGCACAAATCAATCAAATACACTTTTAGCATT